TTTATTTTAATTTGAATTTTTACAATTATAAATCATGTAATGTACTTATTTTTTTAAAGTTGTCAATAATACATTTTAAATTAGATAATATTATAAAATATTTTTAATTTGTTATTATTTGTCTAATAAAATAATTATAAAATGTAAATTAATAATTATAATTTCAGTATATAATATTATAATTAGTGAGGTTGTAATAATTTTGGATTATAGTTAGTTAGGCTGTAATAGTTTGGGTTTATTTAGCGGGTTAGGGTTTTTCGCCAAAACGAGATTTTAATGGCCATTCTTTCATTGATTAGTCTACTCTTTATAATAGTCCATATATAATTATATATTTTATCCTTGATAATTCTATGATTTTTTTTTTATGTGATGCAAATTTAATAGTTAAAATAAATTTATACAGGGAAAGAACATTTCAATATTCACAAATTGATAAAAAAAAATGAAAGTTAATAATGTAGTACCCTCATTTTTTTTATTGGATTCTTAAAAAACAACATTTATAATGAATTTTAATAATTTTTTCGGATTTTTTTGAAGCTTTAATCCGACCGATTCCCGATTCGGATCGTTGATTCGTCGATCCGAATCGGTTTTTGAGGTGCCCGATTCGGGTCACCGATCCGTTTTTTAAACCATTGGTAAACCTTAATTAGCCATTTGATTGTCCTAAGCATGGCATTTGATGCCAACAATGTTTTTATATGGTTGAATATCAATGTAGAAGAAACCATGAAGGATTGAGATTGTACTGTCAAAAGATATGGTCGACATGTTTTATGTTTTCGTGTGCTTGATGCAGTTCAGGCATTGGAAGTATTATAATGCCTGTTCAATTTCAAGCAGTATATTACTTGTAGCTCCTCAATCAACTTGATGTTGACAGTGGACAATTGGGGAGTGATCAATTTTGATGGCATTTGAGCAGAGGAACATACTTGTTGACTGCTAAGTCTCCGGGTAGTAGCGGAGCTGGTAATATATTGTTTGAAACCAAACATGTACTGTAATATACATTCTTTAATCATTAAGGTCTTCCCTTTTTTCATGACTGTTACCATCTTTACTTTATACCATGAACATGAAAAAAGTGGTAAGTGAATTCCATTCATGTGGTATTATATTAAAGATTGACATGAGGGGGGGCCATCATCAGTGGCATATAGCATATGAATAGGTGTCTTCATTTGGATAAATAATGTAATAGTATTAGGGGGAAGATTTTGGTGCTGATGTGCTTTTTTTGGTGCATCTGCATACTTATTTAAAATTTAACAAGTTGAGAGGGAAAAAGAAGACCCCTTGAGATGGTATTTTGACCTTTCTTTTGAACAGTTCATTTTAATCCGTTGCACATTGTTGAACAGTTCATTTTAATCCTTTGCACATTGTTCGCATGTATTTGTGGAGATTCAAGGTGTCTTTCAACTTATAAATGTATGGATATCATGGTGCATCCATGTGTCACACACTGTACTCTCCTAGCCATTATATAAGTCGTGTATTTGGTGGTTTGACCGGCCAGCTACAACATTAGTGGGTTTTTTTAATGATCTTTAGTCACTTGAGATTAACTCCATAACTTAAAAAAGATTTTCACCTTATAAGGTCGTTGTCATCATCATCATAGCCTTATATTAACTATTTGGGATCGGCTATTTGTATTTCATAAAGTACAGTTGATCGGGATTTCTTTGAATTGTTTACTTGAAGCAAGATCATATCCAGGCTTCTAAGAGCTCAAAATTATTATTATTTTTGGAATTATTTATTGTGTGAATGAAGGATATAGGGAAATCTTTCATATTTTATTATTTGAAGGCCCAAAGGTGCGTTGATGATTTTTGGCCAGATTGTGAAATCGTTGAGTGTTTGTATGAAATCTATGGTCCTGAAGGGTCATGCCTGTCCAACAAGCAAGGGCGATGACTACCCACAATCCAAGAAACTTGGTGACTAACGGCATTTGATGGAAAAACTATGCAAAACCCACTTTTGCTACTATTATTTGTAACATTTAAATTACCACATTAATTTATAGTACTTCCACTCTGCCAATGACGATTTCTAAGCATTTAATCCTTAAGATTTCTCCAAAAAAGGCCACTTCTCTACCCAAACCTATTGTTGGTTTAGGTAAAATGCAGAGTAAAATAAAGAGGAGAGATTATATCTTGTCTTAGGATTTGCAAGGGAGTCTTAACCGAAAAAATATCTTTGCAAGATCCACAATGAACTCATATGTTCTTTATTCCTTCTTTTCCAGATCTAATAATTTACATATTTATAAAACAAAAAAACTTAAACCTAACTTGTTTTCTAAGAATCCTAACCCTTCATCTTTAAAAATTAAAAATAAAAAACAAACTTCTAATTCTACCCATCCATGTTGTACAATTAAAAAGGCATAAACACCCCTAACGAAAATTAAAAATTCAATGACTCCAAACCTTAATTTGATCTCCTAAAAAATAATAAAAATAAAAACTTAAAACCCTAATTATATTAGGAATACACCCCATAGACCTCACCCTATCAAGTATTTTTAGCTACACTTTTATAATTATGAGAACTTCGGGAACTATGAAACCTAATGCTGACACAAGAATTTCTTCTCTTCTTTCAAAAAATCAACAACTTAAAAACAATTTTTATGCACTAGGAAGCACAAACTTACAAAGAATTGACAAATGTCCAATCTCAAGAGCCTGAATCTAATACATGATGGAAAATAATAAATATGTGGAGGCTTTTGTTGTAAATGGGATAATATCGTGCAGACATACACCAGGGGACTGGAGAGAAAAATACTAAATTTGGGACACAAACCCAAAATTTCTATCAACAAACTCATCCACAATAGGCTTCTATTAACTTTCCACTGCTCATCTTTTAACATGTTTTGATAATAAGTAATTACGCAAAAGAGTTGAAATGCAAAAGATGTGCAGAAAAGAATTCTATATTTTTACAAATACTGCAGACTTAAATCCAATGCGATCTTTGGCAGCAAGAGCAAAATATAACATGAAAAACTCAAAACAAAGAATATGTTTAAAATTGCTGAAATACTTATCACGGCAAGAGAGGCAACTCTACTTTCTCAAATTCAAAGAAACTCAGTCGACCTGACTCGGATTGAAAAAACTTGAGGGGAATTTCTCCACATGCCTCGCTTAGCCTTTTGACTGCAGCTTTAATTGGAGGTTCTTCCCTGTAAAAATTTAGATAGAGCCAAGTAAGAGAGAGTGAGTGAGAGAGACGCTAAATTTTCAAAAAGAATTGTGCCATCTGTGATCATGTATATACATAAGAATGCTCATGCATGCAAGTCCAAATCCAAATGTGCATTGAGAGGAGGCGGGGGGCAGGGGGGGGGGGGGCTATAATTTCAAAAAGAAATATGATGCTTGTTGCCTGAATTTAAGTGTATCTAAGTTGCTGTTGTGCATATGAGACAGAGAGAGAGTACCCTCCGGCGCAGAGCACAAAACTGGGATTGACCGGAGCAGATTTTCGGAACCGCCTGTCTGGGAGATACACATCAAATATCGGCTCCGATTTTGCACAGATTATCATGTCTTCAATCATTTTAGAGAGTGAAACACCCTTACCCAATTCATTGTTTGATTGCTCACAGTTCTCTGCAACTCCAACATGCTCGGAAGAGCAACATTTCTCACTCATCACAATGCAAGAGAAATTATGGGGTTTCTCACGGTCAGAGAAATTCATGGCTTCAATCTTTTTAGAGAGAGAAACACCCTCTTTTAATCTATCCTTTGGTTCCTCTCTGAAAGACTCAGGAGTGGAAATCTTCTCACTTTTCAATGTCCAAGGAAGATTATGACGGCCCACTACATAGCCAAGTGACTTCAGATGCCTGTAAGCCTCAAAACACTCCCATGAAGAGCCATAAGTTCTCTCTTGAACCAAACCGTATATCTCTTTCAACCCTAAAGCAGTATCAGTATCACCATTTAAGAGAATTAAAGCCCCTCTTTCTACCAAGAATCTGAAAGCATAAGCATTAGGATCACATCTGACCTGAGAGATTCGTCTAGTATGCACATGAGTACACAAATACCATATACAATAGAGAGAGAGAGAGAGAGAGAGAGATGAACTAGCCTCTTCAATGCAAAACTTAATGGGTGTGGTTTCTATAAGGTTGCAACTTTAAACAATCCAATTAAGGCGCACTCCAAATTTTATCATAACATGTAATTTTGGTGTAATTTTTTTTAGGATTATCTGAAAATCTATTTTCATATCTAATTATTAAATTTAAAACTCTAAAAATGGCTAAAATCAGGTAAATCTATAAATATATGAACATCTTGAAAATGGACGGTCTAGATAATGTGTTGTGAGATGCACTATTTCTGGGACTCAAATTTTTACTTTTTTTTGTTCATATTCATACATCTCAATGTCGAGATGATCAATTGGAGGGTTTCTCAACATTAAAACAACCTTTTCCGATGGATTTTTGACGTGCATCTGTAATTCTACATTTTAAGGTTGCAACCTTATATAAACTTTTTCCAAACTTAATTTGCCCATTTGAATGAATGAAAAGTCACTTACAAGGCCTCTTCGATTAAACAATAGAGTTTGCCTTGACGAACTATCCCTGTTGTCGTCCACATCCCACCTTTTCTTTCAATCACTTCTGCCATACCCATCTTTTGAACCCATCGAGCAATGGATGCCTCTTTTCTGAGATCAATGAAAACAAAATTAGAAATTCTAAACTCTCTCTCTCTCTCTCTCTCTCTCTCTCTCTCTCTCTACTCTCTACTACTACTACGTACTACTACTACTACGTACTACGTACGTACGTACGTACGTACTACGTACTACGTACTA